CTGCCAGCGGTCAGGGGCAAACACTGCGGAATTTCGATTAGGAGACGCAAACATTAAGACAAAAAAAAAAAAAAAAGAGATTGCACACATGTATCGTTCAGTAACCTTGTCATCCGAGAGCACAACACTACATGATGAAACATTTGTTGCTGCACGTTTTACATTTGCAACAGATTTTTTTTTTCTTCTGCAACTAAGTCGATAGACAGCTGCGAGGGAAATTAGGATATACAAATGCATAAAAAGTAAAAAAAAAATAACAATAATAAAATAAAATAAAAAAAAACGTTCACAACTCTTTAACTTTCTCGTTTTTGCTGTTTTATTTCACCTCAAATTATTCAGATGGATTCATCTGAGGGAAACTCCTTGGTTAATATGCTCACAAGCTGTGATGACAGGTCAAAAGGGGAATAAAGCAAGACTGGAAAAAAGATTCAATCATGGCTGTGGGTCATTTATTTCCTATGACACCTGATGTTCATGTTACTGTAACGTAGGGGGAAACCCACACCAATACACCACCAACCACTGATTCACTGCCAGTGGTGGAAGAAGTTCTCAGATCTTTTACTTAAGTAATACCAGAGTGTAAAAATAATCTATTACAAGTAATAGGAAGGCATGTAGCTTCAGTAAAAGTACAAAAGTATCAGCATCAAGTACCAAAATACAATTCATCATTCTGCAAAATGACCCCTTTCAATGAATGTAGTTTATCACTGGATTATAATTATATCATTATAAATTATAATAATGTATTTGAATATATATAGGTAACTAACGCTTTTAGATACATTTGATGGAGTGAAAATTACAATATTTGCTATCAAAATGTTGTGAAGTAAAAGTAGCAGAAAATGGAAATACTCAAGTAAAGTAGCTCAAAAGTGTACTTTAGTAGCCAGTTAATACCTAGACACTTAAATGAATAAATACTGTGCCTGTTGTCTGTTGACTATTACCTGTGTGTGTAACAACATTAAATACCACTTTTGATGATATTTGATTGATTGAAATTGATTAAAGCAAAATATGAATAAGAGTTTGAGAAACACTCTGATAATCTTAATCTGGGAAATCCCCAACTGGATGTGTTCATTTTTTTCTTCTGTATTTTAAGAAGACAACATTAAACTTAGAATTCGCTTTATAGAGTTGCACTGTTTGTTTCCATTACCCCTACCTGAACTCCTGGACTTCTCCCCCCTCGGAGTCCGACTGGACGTGCTTCGGTCCCGGGGGAAGGTGAGTGGACAGCAGGTAGAGGTAGACGCTTGCCGCCACCACAATGGCAGCCAGTCCCGCTAAGGAGCGCATGTTGCTCCCTGCTGAAGCTCCCTGTTCACCGGCAAACTTCACTGGAAACTCAGCCTGAATTTAAAAGGCCGGGAAGACCCTCTGCGGGACAGCGTCGACGTGTTGCGGTTCAGTTGGTCGACACCGAGGAAGAGGGGTGTCGCTTACCGTGCAATAGGCTACAAAAGACGGTTGACATTCTGGCTGAGCTCGGCAGACGGATCACATGGCAGCCGGCGACCAACAACTTTCTTAAGGGAAAAGACAGTGTTGACGTTTGTGTAACACTATCACACAGCGGCGTTTCTCTCCGGTCTCTGTTCCCTTTTTATTTATTTTTTAACAATTTGACCCAGAAACATGTGCAGTTAATTTAACTGAAGTTTCTGTGTGAGTACTATGGGCTGCTTTTTGTGAGAACTGAATGTGTACTGGCAGGAATGGGCCACTAGAGGGCGACACGGTAAAGGCCATATGGGGTTTACAGGCGTCAGATTATCAAATGCTATAAACTCACGTTATCCAGTATTTATAGATCAGGATCCTTATTATGCATCACTCTGCTTCCAACACTTACTGTGTAAAACAATATAACATAATATACGCATCAATCAGTTGATAAAAAAGCAAAAATAAAGAGCCACACATAAGAGTTCATGGCAGGTTTAAATACAATGTATGTCCCTTGCCTCTATAGATTTTAGTTTTATTTACTTTTAAAGGTCTATATCGTTAGTTTTGGTTATAAATTAAATTATATTTTATGTATTTATAGAGGCATATTTTCTGTGGAGGGGCAATAAAGTGAAATATATTTCAAGAAACAGTAACATTTGGAAGCAACATGGCAGAGAAGACTGAACAACATAATTATATTTTACATTATAAATGATCAAATATGTGGTTTCCTTAAAGTAAACAGGGATCTTTTTAAATGTGATTTAGTTGAGATTAACAACATTCTAGTCTATGTTTGTTTTACTGGTAATTTTATTACATATGATGACTTTTTAGTAAAATTGTGTTTTAGGAAGGGAATATTTTTTTTATTCCAGATTGTATTTGTACAGGAGAGTTGCACATCCTCTGCAGTCTAATTTTATATGAAACTACTGCAATGTTATTTATTTATTTATTTATTTTTGGTCATATAGGTCCAGATAGCCTGGACACATGTAGTTGCATAAAACAATAAAATAACATATGTTAGCTAATTATATGCTATAGGGATATGACAGACTAACAAACCTGTACACTATCAAACTATAAGACCATAAATATAATAAAATGCATATATTTTTAATATTAACATTAAAAAATTGGGTCTTGTCCCCTTTTAAAACAGAATAACACTCTTTATCCTGATAAAAAGCAATTAGAAAACATAATTAAGACAAGGATATGGATTTTATTGCTGTGTTTATTTATTGTATTTTGTTACATCTTTTGGCTGGAATAGTTTGGGGCTGATATCGAGGGACGTTTTCAAAGCTGTTTTCTTTCTTGCTCACCGACTGACATCTTTTCCTACAAATGAAATGTATAACATTTTGTTACATATTAACAGCCAGGTAACCAGAGCACAATAAATTACCCTCAAAACTGCTGTAGAGACACTGAGAAGATGACATTCTGTTTACATAAATGTGGTTTGTATGTGTGTGAATGGCTTTGACTTGACATGTATTTTCACATGTTGACAAAGTGTAAAGATCAGCTACTTAGAGTTTAAGTGTTATTTGACATGTTTCAGCCCTTTAACAAAAAAAGAGAAAACTATTAGTTCATTATATACTTTTTAAAAAGTAATTCCCTCCTCGTCAGGCAGCCTTTGGTTTGCATTCAGTTTTGTGTGATATGAAAGCCCACTTGCGAAGACTTGCTTGAGATAAGTATTCATACAGCAAACTTTCACTTCCTTGTTTTTGTTTAAAGCAATGTTGTTGTTGTTGTATGGTGTAATACAGTTGCAAGCAGTAATTCTTTGGAAAACCACTTTTACAGTAACACATAAGCATGAATGCACTACCTTTAGATTTTCAGTAATTACATCAAAGTTATTGGTCTAGTGAAAATTGTGTTGTTATATCAATGATACACCAGTTCCATGTTTTATGGGCTCTTTGTGTGTGCATGGAACACCCTTCTCTCTGTTTGTGGGACAGCATGAAAGTAAAGTACAAACTGGTATAAAGGAGGCTATGTGCTTGGATAAAAATATTCTTTTAACATATAGAGAAATATGAATACAGACTATACAAAAACTACAAAGACATACATACATTCAGATTAGAATTCCCTGTCCACAGCATTAAATTCTTAAAATTCTTCCCACATCAAGCTGGTGGAAAAATAACCTCAATCCAACACAGATAATTGTGAGAATACTTCAGCTCCTGCTAACATTAGAGCAGGTGTGCAGCAGTCGCACAAAGAGAAATGGAGAGACTGTGTCTGAACAAAACTCTAAAGACAGGCAAGTACAGTATATAACTTTTAGAAAGTAACATGAAAGTGACCTACATTAAATTACCTAAGTTTCACCTTTCGGACCCCCAGAGTTTTCATTGTCTCTTTTCATGTCAGTCAAATGAATATTCAGAATTTGTTGTATGGCGTCTTCCTCTGGAATAACTATAAGATTGAAACAGGTGCTGTTAGTAACACATCCAAAAAGTCTTTGGTTACCATTACTCAAGTGTGTAAGTAAGACATTTTCACAGGTAAACACACAGGAATACCTTCATCGTCCTCAGGGGAATCAGTTGACGTCGCTTTAAGCCCGACCACAAGAGCAAAGAGCAGGAAAACCATCTGGGCTTTCATTTTCTACAAGAGAGCACTCAGGCTTAGAGCAGTCCTCTGCCTCTCATTTCATGGCACAAATTAATGATCCTTTTTCATTGTCAGTAAAAGCAAAAAAAAATAATTGAAATAACTCACCTTTGCTGTTAAACTTCAGCAGCAGTCGTCTGTAAGTGTATATTTAACAGTGAAATGACTGTTTATGGTGTCTCTGTTGTGACTCTGACTCTATATACCAGACCGACAGGCCTTAGGCTGGGCGTGTCTGTGTGTCTAAAGCATCTTAAAAATCTACCCAGGTCAGTTTTAGAAAAGAAAGGTTCCAAAAATAAATGACTCACTAATTATACTCAGAAGCCCAGTGCATGGAAAACAACTCTAAACAGATATAGAAGTTAACTGAACTGATTGTGTTAGCGATACATGGCAGTCAGAAAGAATCACTATACAGTAGTGACATGTTTTCCATTGTGAACACACTGACAATGACTATGAAGTTAAAGTGCTGATTTAATTTGAGGGTTTTTGTATCCACATCAGGTGGATAATGTAGGAATTGTAGGCAGAAGGGGATGAAATTAAGATAATGTAATTTCTCATTCTTATGGTTATTATTTACATCCGGTTTAGGTCTAACTGCTTCTGATTGTGAGGTATTTGTTTTAGGAATGTTAGCAAGAAAAACCTTGTTTAACCTGAACTGAAAATGCAGTACAGCACTGTGGGTTGGGAATTTATTATGTTAGTGGTTAATTACAACTGGATAAGGGGTTAGGGATTGCAGCTACAGCTGTGTCATACTGTCTTCACTTGCTCCTGTGGACCCTGAGTGTGAAAAAGACAAAAAAACAAAAACACTGCAATAATAAATGAATTAATTCTGCATGTTGACGCAGGTCTTAAAATCACAAGTTTGAATTATTCATTATGAAATAAAAATAAAAAATATAATTTTGTGCTAGGGATGAATTAAGCAGTCGACCTGAGGCTGTCTTTAAGTCTGCTGGTACAGCAACAGAAGCTTCTGTACTTCTTCCCAGATGGCAGCAGGGTGAACAGGGTGTGTCTGGGTGGGTGCTGTCTTTTAGTATCCTTTGGGCTCTGTGCAGGCATCTCACCTCAGCAGTATCACTGATGCTGGGTCGCTGAGTACCAGTGATCTTCTGGGTGGTTTTAATTACTCGCTGCAGAGTCCTCCTGTCCTGGGCTGTGAAAAGTTTGTGATGTCTCCAGCTTTTTATTGCTTCTTTGTTAAAATTAACAAGAACTTGGCAAAGGAATTCTGCTTTCTTCAGTTTCCTTAAGAAATACAGTCGTTTCTGTGCTTTCTTAGTGGAGATGACTAGTGTTGGGCTGGTTACTCAATAAGTTTAATTTATTACTCATTACTCTTTTCAAAAGAGATGTTATTACTTTACTTATTACTCTCTGCCAACAGTAATTAGTTAAACCACTAGTTATTACTTTTCTGCTAGTCCCCACAAAATTGTTTTGATTGTGTCCCCTCTCCTCAAAATTCAGACTTTCAACGATTAAAATCCGGTTTTGTTTGTTAAAATCAAAGTAACGGTACGACTAAGCATTTCTATTTTCAACACTAGTTTAAAAAAAACAGATGTGATGGCCACAGCCATGGCCAC